AAAAAAAAAAAAGGAAACGCACCACCAGTGGCAGAGCTAAAAATATCTTGGAAGATAACTCACTCAGTCTCCCTTGCCCAAACATACACAGTGGTCCTGAGGTTGGAAGGACCTTTGTAAAGGAGTGTACTGTGAACTATTGAGAAAGTAAAGACAAAGACTCCACACCAGAGGGCCAGGGGAATTAGATTTATCAAGGGCCTAATGGGCTCCAGACTTGATATACCCTCAATCCCAAGAAAACAGTGGCCCCAATTAATAGATGAAATTAATTCAGTAGTTGCATGATTTGCCTAGTAACCAAGTGTGTAAAAGAAGGGCAGGGATGAAACAAGTCTTGTTCAGAAACATATTTTCTTTACTGTTTCCTCCACATCAGAAACTTACAGATTTTAGAGGTCCTTGACCAGTCTCAATCTATCCCACTTAACATCTCCATCAACTCAATATTAAATTCAAATCGTGAAAATTAAGCCATCAATCACACGGTGTCGGTTGGAGAAGCATATTGCTCAGGCTGCAGGGACATTTCATTTATTTAAATGTTTTTATTAAAAAAAAATTAAAGACCTTCATGGCACAACTTCTTCCCAGCACAGGTATGTTTTAGTTATACCAATTACAATACAGTTACAACCAATAAATCAAGGGGTGGGGAGGAATTTCTGACTTTAAACTTAAAAAGAGGGGGGCCACTTCAAACAAAGTTAAAAAGTACTTTTGAAAACCTTCCAGAGTAACTGCCAACATAGCTGTTTTATACTGGCATTCCATTTCCTGCCTTCTAAGCAATGCAGACACAGGTAGTGCTGAGAAATAGTGTCCCAATACAAGGTATACAGATGAGGTAATTTACAACAACACAGAAGTTGTTACTCTGTAAACCCTTGGCCCCCCTCCCCCATTTGGATCATTTAAAAACTCTCTCCATGCTTCTGCAGTGACTCTAATTAGCATAAAAATGAAAACTTCTATTTATTTCAAAAGGCTCTTGGTGGCACTTCGGAGTCCTCTGCATACACCTTCAATTCTTGCAAGGTCTGATGGGTGTAACAAGTCCAGCTGTCTGCAGCTTCCACATCAATCTCAGCCATACCTAGATTTCTGAGCTACAAGACTAGGGTGTGAAATCCATCTACAACCCTCCTTCCACCAAAAGAAAGATTTCATTAGTTATTAAGTGTCCTGTTCAAATCACAATCCAGTGCAAACATAATCACAAACTGCATCTCTGGCACATCTGGTGCTTTTAGCTTCTGCACAAAGTCAACGTGGTAACCCTCACAGCATTCTAGGCCATAAAAGGGTCAAGTACAATAAATAGTCACTGTAAGTGGCCTCAAGGAAGAAAATCACCCTGCCAATCAGAATGTTTTCTCTTCAGCTCTCCCTAAGGGTGAGAAGTATCCAAAGGAAGCGTTTGCTTCCTCTAAAGTTTACCAATATATTCCCTAAAGCCACCACCTTGATAAAGTTACTAAAATCAAGATGGGTTAAAAAATTAGTTAAGTTCATTAAATTTAATTCCACGAACAATTATGTTTATCTATGATGCCCAGGTGAGAAAGGCCTGTAAATCTATAAAGGTAGGAGAATTGGGGAACTAAGATTTTAGGCTTTAAAATGTTGGAAGAATATTTCCTAGTCCCCATAAGCAGCTACTGTAATGAAGTAACAGGAGAAAGTACAGAGCTGATGGTTTTGCTATTGTGCTTAAAAAACTAGGCTTCCTCAGTGAAGCACCTGATAAACTTAGGTGGTTGGTTTACAGTGGAAAGCCCACTTTATACACACACACAAACACACAAAAACTGGCAACTTTTTCCATCCCCAATCCCTGCACTGCTGAGACACAAAATGAGTTTTATGGCAAAGGATCCTTAATCCCCAGAGACGCTTTGGCTTGTGGTGCTTTTTTAAGGCCTCTCTGCCCTGCCCGGTACCATGGGTCGAACGAGGGGTGTATACAAATGGGGGCCTTAGGAAGCCTCCACGGTACAGGGCTGCAGGCCCCTCTGATGTGAATGTGACACCCACCCAGCGAGACTTACACAGGGAACTTAAATCTAACCTTGATAAATAAAACCAAAAGTTTATTTACACCAAAGAATTCCAACACTGGATCTTTCACATATGAAGGACAAAGTATATATATATACACACACAGCAAAAGGTGGCAGGGCTTAACAAGAGTTGATCATTTCCCACAATTACAGTTCTACTATTTCCATTTCACTGGAGACAGTGGCTCTGCTCCTGCCTCTCAAATACATTTATAAGACTGAGGAGCAGGTATTCTCGCTAGATGGCATGTAAGGGAAAAGGAAAGTAGGAGGAAAAGAAGGTAGCTTAAAATGAATCCCAGTGTGGCCGTATCTCCATTAGTTCTTAGATTTGCTAGCACGAAAACTATATAGACAATGTCTCTTTTGTAAAAAGCAGTTTAAGTTATGCCCAATAACTGATTTCAAGATGGCCAAGCCAAAGAAAACTGAAAAAGATTTTGCCTTCCCTGTCCTACTAGCTATGAAGCACAACATGTTGAGACATGAAAGGGAGAAAGACCAAGGTAGGAGCCTCAGAGGGATGTTATCACAATTTTAAACTAAACTGACACCAAAATTATAAATGAGCTGGGTTAGGGTTAGGTCAATAAAACATGATTCACACTGAACAAATGTTTTCAGAATCGCCTGCCCTTTGGGTAGATTTTCAGTATCTCCATGTAAGTATGACACACTTCCACTAGAGTCGCCAGGATAACCACACTGAAGCACTTACGGAACAAGTGACTAGCGGTGGTGTACTGCTCTGCTCTTACAGATTGGGTCTTCCCTGCCTCTTTTCTGCTTGCCTCCTTCCCTCCCACCTCCCTCGAGAAGCTACATTTTTGTAATCTCTGGAGAAGAGCATGAGATACACACCTCCCTTCCCAGAGCACAGGATGGTGGGGGAGCAATGGTAGGAATGGGAAGAAATGTCCACCCAAATGCAGCAGCCATGATTGAGGCCAGTTTTACACTTTGTTCTTTAGTGATGAGGAATTGAATTTGGAAGGGGAGAGAAAAATCTGTCCATGAAATATTCCACCTGCAGGTATCTTTCAGGGAATCCCCTGAGTTGTGAAAAGTTCGAGTTAAAAAAAA